TGAAGTGACCACCTGAAGCGTTGCCTATCTTCAAGGCGTGCTATGTGGCGAGCTGCTTCACTTAGCAAGATGGGATGGGCTACTTCCATACCTTCTCCCCCACCCCCAAGATGACAACTCTTCGATTATTGTTGCACGTTGTAGCACAACGCGACTACGAGCTCCACTCACTTGACTTCTCCATGGCCTTCCTCCAAGGCAGCATGCACGAGCAGATCTGACATCGCCATCCACCTTGTTACAGTGGGTCCTTCACCTCTTGGACCCGGTGGAGCCTTTGGCGGCCATTGTACTGTCTGCGTCAAGCTCTTTGTGGCATGACACCTTAAACACTACTCTTGCTTTGCTCAGCTTCTCCTTATCTAAAAGTGACTCTTCTCTCTTCTTCTGCTATGGCTAGACACCTTTCTACAATCTGGTATACGTTGACGACTTGGTCATCACTACTCCTGACTGGGTTGCACTGGCCTCAGTGAAGGCAGGGATGTAGAAGAGACACTCGTGCAATGACCTAGGTGAGTTGCGACGCTATCTTGGCTTGTAGATCACTAAGGACAGAGGAGCACGCACCATCACTCTGACGCACTCACACATGGTGCAGCAGATCCTCGACCACTTTCGCCTTCGGTTCTCTTCTTCATAGCCCACTCCCCTTACTGTTGACCATAAGCTATCAGCTCTTGTCCCTAACAAGCCTGCTGAGCTTAGTGGTCTGTACGCAAAACTGGTGGGGTGCCTCATGTACCGTACCTGCCGATCTGCAATCGTCCGGACCTTGCCTATCTTCTTAGCTTCCTTGCCGGCATTGTTGAGACTGGGAGACACCGACTTCAGCACTAGTTGGGCACGGTGAGGCACCCTTGGTCTTTGTGGCCTCGGAGGCCAACACTGTGGACATCTTCACCAAGGCCCTTCCGCCTACTGAACACCGCAGATTTTGTTCGCAGCTTGGCCTTGTCCAGACAAATCATCGCTTGTTGTGGATTGCCTCTTGCGCTGCTTATATTGTTTTTTATGTGTATACCTATATATATAAGTATATATACATATGTATATTTACATATATATACATACATACATATATATACAAATATACATGAGGGTTTACATATATACTACATAGTAGTAGGGATGCAACCCTCATCATGAGGTCCTTGAGGTGTCACATGCAAAATCCAATCTAGTTGGATTTTGCCTAGGTGTTGCAACATTTGCAACCCATGCTACTAACCACCACAATCCAAAAGTCAAATTTGTCTTCCTAACTACCCAACCAAAGATCCCTGTATAGTCATGTCCCAATAATCACCCAATATAGATAATATCTCAAAATGAGATAGAATTCCCAAAACTTGGGAATCTTATAACTTGGGCGATTTTGGAATCGTTGGAAAGCTCTGGATTTCTCTTACATGAACAAGCATTTAAACTTGGAGAAAAGCACAGAGATGATAATATCCAACAACCATGCACAATGGCATACGCTCATACGAATCATGCAAGCACAAATAGGACGAGCACTAAGGAGGATGTTAGGATGACATGCACTCAGAATGACGTGCATTCAACATACTTGTTATTTAGAATGTCAGCCAAGCTGTCAGAAACGTCCAAGTGGAGAGTCTCGAAGCGCTCGGTGGCCGGACGAAGGGAGGAGGAGTGAGGGGTGGCGCGCAGCCGACCCTCGACACAAGGACCGCAAGGTGGTGCAGGCGAAGGCGACAACGACGGCTAGACTCGCGAGAGGCCTAAGACAAGACGCTGACTAGACATAGTGCAAAGGCGGGGAAGGGACAGGTGACCAAGACGGTGGTGCTACAGAATGGTGAGGTGGGCAAGAGACCGACACGATCAAGAAGCAGCAACCTGACCAGACGCCGTAACCTGACTAGATACAACTACCTGGTGGGACGCTGGGACCTTACGGGGGGCACTGATAGGAGTCGGAGGCAACAACTGCTGCTGCTGCTGGCACTGCTGCTGCTTCTGCTGCCTCTCTTGGGGGCCAGTGTGAAACGTGTAGAGACCAGAACCCGGCTCCTGGCGAAAGGTGGCCAGGGGGCATACGTGTCACCGTCCACACAGGTTGTAGAGTCCCTAGAAGGCTCAAACCAAACACCAGCGTGCAGACTCACGAGCGACCGCGCACCCACCAAGTTCCTAGAGAACGAAGGGATGTGGAGGCCTGTCAGGGAACCCGAGGGAACAGCCGGGCACGGAAGCATGGTAGAGTGGCGAGCAATGACTGGTCCCGAAGTGGGATCTGCCAGTGCGATAGAGATCGGTGCAAGAAGCGGAGTAAGAGTCGTGTGGTCGCGGAAGAAACAATGCGACACATCAGAGCCAACGTGAAAGACAGCGACGCATCCGCTGAAGCGGCACTTGGACTAGCGCCTACTCAAACACCTACACTAGCAACTGGCACAGGATCAACACTAGCACTTAAGCTAAAAACACGTGAGCAAACGGAGTCTGAAGCACTAGAGTCAACAACAGCATAGATAGCATTTGCAGTTCCTGAAAGTTCAAGTAACTGAGAAGCAGACATGTCCCACAGTGCGGGACCGTGCGAGAGAACAAGGGGAAGACAGTCAGGGGCAGGGCCGTCTACGTCGTAGGCTGCGCGAAGTCTGTCAGTGAGCTGAGCAAAGCACTGACCCGGTGGGTGACGGCGGTCGCAGCGGAGGCCACTGCGAGTACTTGTCTGGATGAGGTAGAGGCAGGGTGGGTGGGCGTCACCACGCAACAGCTGATGCGGTCCTGACCCGTGCCGCTGAACCTACTGCTGCCCCTGCTGCTGCTGTTGCTGCTGCGAGAGCAGTGGCTGATGCTGTTGCTGAGGCAGGTACCAGGCCGCTACCCCAACTCATGCAGCTAGCAGCCCCGCAGGTGCCTGGCGAACCCGAGCGTCACCTCCACCAGCTGCAGCAGGGGAGCCACTAGAAGCTGCACAAGGCTTTTCCACCAGCACCTGCACTCCCGCCACTGCCACACACCACGCCACCTCCGCCGCCTCCATTGCTGGCTGCACCCTGGCCACCCCTCCTGCCAATCCTAACTCTAGACTACGCAGAAGTTGTGACAGCAGCCGCGGTCTCGTCAGTAGCAGTAGCGGCGAGGGAGGTAGTAAAGGTGGGCAGCTGTGGGACAGTGCACCCGTGGAACAGTGGGGGGGGCACAGCGCTAGAGGCGGAGGCTACCGAGCGGAGGTTGCTCTCGACGTCCTTGAGTGCATACTCAAGGACCTCGATAGTGAGCTCGCTAGGGTATTCGGAAGAAGCGCGTTGCGAACTGTGGCAAGGCGGTCAGGGAGGCTAGTGACGATAAAATAAATAGTAATCGCCATGGGGGTGGGGGGGTGGGGTGAGAAGCAGTGCAAGCTGTGCATCAGTGCAGGCAGCGCGGTAGCGAGAATCCAGCGAACGCAGGTGAGCGATTAAGTCGGCAGAACGCTCGAACGAAGCGAGGTCAGGAAACAGGAACGGGAGGAACAGGCGACTGAGAGAGACAGTGGTAGGAGTGGATAGCGAGCCTTGATCGCAATCAGGAACTCGCTAGCAGTGCGAACCTAGGTGAAGTGGGTCTCCTCAGACTCAGGGAGGAGGCTGCTGAGGGCGATGCAGGCTGCAGCGTCGCGCGACTTCCAAGCTGTTAGGGCAACGTGCTAACGTGCAAAATGCTCTCTGTCTGCAGTGGTGGGGTCAGCGCCTAGGGGTTCAGGGGCAGAGGGCGCAAGAAGGTCACCGGAGGCGTGCGCCCAGAGAGACTCGTCAGCCTGGCACTGACTCTCTTGCAAGCGCTGCGCACGGAGGAGCCAGACAGAGAACTCCAGCGGGCTACCCTCGGCATAAAAGCGCAGGACCCTAGGCATCGCCATAGCTGATGCGGAGGGGAGGGAGCTACTGCTGCCACGTCTTAGTTTGGCGGAGGAAACCTTAGCTGATGGGGACGGGCAGGACGTGACACGACGGGACGGGCAGGGCGCGACGCGACGGGCAAGGAGGCGCGACGGGCGTGACGCGACGGGACGGGCAGGGCTCGACGCGACGGGACGGGCAGGGCGCGACGCGACGGGAAGGGAGGCGCGACGGACGCGAGGGGACAAGACGGGACGGGCGCGACGCGACGGGACGGGCAGGGCTCGATGCGACGGGCAGGGAAGCGCGACAGGCGCGAGGGGACGGGACGGGACGGGACGGGCGCGACGCGACGAGACGGGCAGGGCGCGACTCGACGGACAGGGAGGCGTGACGGGCGCGAAGGGACGGGACGGGACGGGCGCGACGGGACGGGCAGGGAGGCGCGACGCGACGGGCAGGGAGGCGCGACGGGTGCGAGGGGACGGGTCGGGCGCACGTGCGCGAGGGTACGGGACAGAACGGGCGCAACGGGCCCTAACAAATGGAATATACCTAACCCTAACAAATGTACCCCACATGACAAGCCTCACTACAGGCTACAATATTTGACACAAACCTGTACCTCCAATAGAGCACGAAAATCTCGCTACTGGTAATAAAAAACATTTTATGTAACTTCTATGTTTCTATGTTAGTGTGATATTAAATATTATATATGATCTCAATCATCTTAACTTTCTTCTGATTAAGTTTCCATTTGTTTGATTATCACAATTATAGCAACATTCCAACTCTTCAACTTTTACATGTTGCATGACAAGAGGTTTTTCATGCTAACGAATCCAAACGTTGTAATCCCTTGACCGTACCGTCCCAATACCGAAGTGGATTTGGCAGAATCCTTCGAATCCACCTCGCCCTCCTTATCCGTGCATTCTCCAACCTCGCCGCCTCTTTCTCAACCCACTCGTCACTGCGGTCAGTTTTGCCAGCCATGATCGCTGGCTAGGCCCGTTTTCTCCGTTCTCCGTCTGATCTTCACTCATTATTTGGAATCCGAACATGGCGCCCACCACACTATTACGCGACGCGAGAGTGAGCGTCGTGTGCGCCACGAGTCATCAACGCACAGATTCGCAAATGTTCGTGAATGCTCGCTTCGCTGGTCCCAGTACACAGATTCGCTCGCGTCCTGCTCATTTCGCAGGTGCACCTCCCCGCCTAGCGCGCCTCTCCAGCGCCCGTGCCGCCTTCTTCTCCGCTCGCCCCCCGCTCGTCCCCGCCACGCGCCTATCCGTCCCACCGCGCCGCACCAATGGAGGGGCCGTGCGCGTCGCGGCGACCACGTCGGGCGGGCAGGGCTCCGCGGGGTCGGTGGCGGTAGGCTCTTTCCGCGCGGGGCAAAAGCGCGCGGAGGTGCGCCTTCCTGCGCTGCTGCTGACGCTGACCAGCGCGGAAGTCTTGCGCGGAGGGGCGCAGGGCAGCGCGGAGGCGGTGGACGCGGCGGTGGCGGGGGGCGCGACCATGGTGGTGGTGGGGGAGGAGGGCGCGGGCGGCGCGGGCATGGAGCTGTTCGAGGCGGCGTGCGCCGTGAAGGAGGTGGTGCGCGGGCGAGTGCCGCTGCTCGTGGCGGAACGCGCGGATATCGCCGCCGCTGCCGGCGCTGATGGCGTGCTGCTGTCCGATAACGGTGCGATGGGGTGCGCAGAAAAGGGGCGATGGGGGTAGGGGGAGGGGTGAGGAATGGAGAAGGGCGAGAGACGGATGAGAGGAGCATGACACGGTCGCATGGTGGCATGGCGTGGTCGCATGGTGGCATGGCGTGGTCGCATGGTGGCATGGCGTGGTCGCATGGTGGCATGGCGTGGTCGCATGGTGGCATGGCGTGGTCGCATGGTGGCATGGCGTGGTTGCATGGTGGCATGGCGTGGTCGCATGGTGGCATGGCGTGGTTGCATGGTGGCATGGCGTGGTCGCATGGTGGCATGGCGTGGTCGCATGGTGGCATGGCATGGCACATGACGCGTCGCAGTAGCCAGGGGATTCTAATGGCTTCTTTCACGTGGTGTGATACATGGAGTGTGACTGCAGGAAGCTGGGGAGGCCAATGCACACACTGCATAGCACATGGCTCACATGCCGCACCCATGCTCACATGCCACACCCATGCTCACATGCCGCACCCATGCTCACATGCCGCACCCATGCTCACATGCCGCACCCATGCTCACATGCCGCACCCATTCTCACATGCCGCACCCATTCTCACATGCCGCACCCATTCTCACATGCCGCACCCATTCTCACATGCCGCACCCATTCTCACATGCCGCACCCATGCTCACATGCCGCACCCATTCTCACATGCTGCACCCATTCTCACATGCCGCACCCATTCTCACATGCCGCACGCATTCTCACATGCTGCACCCATTCTCACATGCTGCACCCATTCTCACATGCTGCACCCATGCTCGATCACAGCACTCGCCTCTCACGGCTACAGTCCTTCATCCTCCTCCTGCATCGCTCTCCCTGCTTCTGAACCCGCAGCCTATGTGGCATCCCAGCCACACCTCTTCCCTTCTTCCCTTCATTCTCCGTCCCTCTCACGCCTTTCTCTGCCACTCCTCTCCTCTACCCTCTGCTTCGCCCCTTCTCCCCGTGGTCGCGCCCCTCTGGGCACGGCCTTTCGCCTCGCCCCGTACGTACACCCATCCCTCAGGTCTGCCGGCAGTGGCGGCGCGGCGAATGATGGAGAGTGCGGCGTCGGGCCCGCTGCTGCCGCTCGTGGCGCGCCGAGTGGCGTCCGTGGCCGCCGCAGTCACCGCCACCACCGCTGACGGCGCCGACCTCATCCTGCTCGCACCCTCCGCTGCCGCACCAGGGCGGGGTGCTATCAGTGCCAGCAGTGCGGGGCGCAGTGCTGATGCGGCAGCAGTGGCGCAGGTGAGGGCGCGGCAGGTGAGCATCCCCGTGCTGGTGCAGCGGGGCGAGGGGGCCGCGTGGGCAGGGGGCGAGGGCGTGCAGTGGGTGCGCGGCGTCATGGGCAGCGGCGCAGCTGGCGTGGCCGTTACTCTCTCCTCGCTGCTGCAGGCGGCAGCAACAGAACCAGCCGAAGCAGCAGAAGGAGCGGACGGAGCAGAAGCAGGGGAAGTAGGGAGTGTGGCAGGTGGCGGGGAGAGCAGGGCGATGCGCGCAGCGGTGGGGCGCGTGGTGGGCGCCATGGCTGATGCTCGGTGGGTCACCAAGGGCATGGGGGAGGGCGCGGGGGAGGAGAGTGAGACGGAGAGTGAGGGGGAGAGTGAGGAGGAGGGGGAGGAAGTGGGCATGGGAGTGGGAGGTGCAGCAGGGGGCGAGGTCCTAGGGCGTGGGGACGTGGAGGAGGTGAGGGAGGAGGTGGAGCAGGTGCTATCTGGCGTGGGGGGCCCTCCGGGGCCCGCTGCTGCGAGTGCTGTGGCAGGGGAGGATGTGCGCTTGCAGGTGGCAAGGGAGGGGGAGGGGGAGAAGGGCGAGAAGGGCGGGAAGGAGGAGGAAGAGGAGGAGGAGGGCGAGGGCAGGGAGGGGCGGGGGTTGCTCGACGTGGAGGGGCGGAGGATCATGAAGGCGGAGAGGAAGCTGCTCTCCTCGCTGCTCGCCCTGCTCCGTGCTGCCTGCCCTGATGTGAGCTGCTTGCCCCGTTGTGAGCTCCATGGCACATGTGTCTCCCTCCCATCCCATGGTCTTTATTTCTTGGCCCTTTTGGCTTTCCACCATGCCTGCATGCCTCTGTGCCTGCATGCCCCTGTGTCTCCATGCGTACATGACTCCGTGCCTGCAATGGCTCCATGCTTGCCCCTGTGTGCGCATGGCATGGCATGGCATGGCATCAGATGGCGGAGATACAGCTGTTGGAGGACTCCCTCGCCCGACTGGGGGAACCCTTCCTCGTTGTTGTCGTGGTCAGTGCCCCTCTGTACCGCCATGCATTCGTGTGGTCACCCATGACATCATACTCCATTCACGTCCCCGTCATCATTACACGCCTTCGCGCGCCAGGGCTTCCCATGCTGTACCTCTAGCGCCACTGCATTGCATGCACATCCACTTCCTCGCACATCCACTTCCTCGCACATCCACTTCCTCGCACATCCACTTCCTCGCAAATCCACTTCCTCGCACATCCACTTCCTCGCACATCCACTTCCTCGCAAATCCACTTCCTCGCACATCCACTTCCTCGCACATGGCTGCCTCGCACCCAACCCGTCCTCTCGCTTCACTCACAAAGACTCGCCTCTCACAATCCTCCCTCGCCCACCCTTCCCCCCTCTCTCCCGCGCCACGCACCACGCACATGGGGCCAGGGCGAGTTCAACTCGGGCAAGTCGTCGCTGGTGAACGCGCTGCTGGGGGACGCGTTTCTCAAGGTGGGGGTGGTGCCCACCACCAACGAGATCACGCTGCTGCGCCACCTCGACACCTCGCCCTCCTCGCAGCTGCGTGCACGTGCCGCCCAGGCCGCGTCCAGTGCAGCGCTGTCGGCGGCAGCAGCGGGGTCGCAGAGGGGGGCGGTAGCGGGGCGGGCGGCAGCGAGGGCGGTGGCGGGGCGCATGGCGGTGGAGGAGCAGCGCCACCCCGACGGGCACATGATCCGCTTCCTGCCCGCCGACCTCCTCAAACAGGTGCGCGCTCAGCCCCTCGCTGCTACCCCCTGGACATTCATGCCTGCCATTCATGACTGCCATTCATGACTGCCATTCATGCCTGCCATTCATGACTGCCATTCATGCCTGCCATTCATGACTGCCATTCATGCCTGCCATTCATGACTGCCATTTATGACTGCCATTCACGCCTGCCATTCATGACTGCCACCTGAATCTCAAGCATCCACTCTTGCTTCCCCTCATTGCTCTTCATACCCTCTCACGTGTCGTCTTCTCAACCCCTCTCCTGTCCGCCCATCTGTCCTTGCCTTGGGCGCGGCATGGGAGCAGATGAACGTGGTGGACACGCCCGGCACGAACGTCATATTGGAGCGCCAGCAGCGCCTCACAGAGGAGTTCGTGCCCCAGGCGGACCTCGTGCTCTTCGTACTCTCCGCTGACCGCCCCCTCACCGAGTCTGAGGTGCGCCTCCTGCCCACTCGCCCTCTTACACTCGACCACCCAACCGCACACCCTTGCACCCCTTTCTTGGCCCTCTGTTCTCCATGATTGTCTTCCACATATCTGCCTCATTCCTCAATGCCTCACTGCCCCGCCACCCCGCCCGCAGGTGTCATTCCTGCGCTACATCCGCCAGTGGGGCAAGAAGGTGGTGTTTGCGCTCAACAAGGTCGACTCGCTCTCCTCGCCCGCGGACGTGAGGGAGGTGCAGGAGTTCGTCACAGCCAACGTGAAGCGCCTGCTCGCCGTCGACACCGTGCTGTGCTTCCCCCTCGCCTCGCGCCCCGCCCTCGCCGCCAAGCTCCTCCACAACGCGCCCTACCCCTTCCCCCCCGCGCCCTCGCCCGCCCTCTCCTCCTCCTCCGCCGCCCTCCCGCCGCCCGACCCCGCCGCCCAAGCCGCAGCCGTCCGCCTGCGCAACGACCCGTCCTACCAGGCGTCAGGCTTCGCCGACCTTGAGATCTTCATCCAGCAGTTCCTGGAAGGTTCCTCCGACGCAGGCGCAGAGCGGCTGCGGCTGAAGCTGGACACGCCGCTGGGAGTGGCGTCGGCGCTGCTGGCGGGCGCGGAGGCGCAGCTGACGGCGCAGGCGGAGGCGGCGGCGCGGGACGATGAGGCACTGGCGGCGGTGGAGGCGCAGATGGAGGGGTACGGCGCCGCCATGCGCACCGACTCCCTGCTGCAGCGCTCCCGCGTGGCCGTACTCGTGAGGGAGGCGGCGGGAAGGGCAGAGGAGTTTGTGGAGGCCACGCTGCGGCTGGGCAATGCTGACGTCATGATTCAGTACCTGTTTTCACCGCCTGGTGGGGGTGGTGGGGGAAGTGGTGATGGGGCGAGTGGCAGTGGCGGCATGCTGCCTGTGAGCAAGAGCTTTCAGACTCAGATCGTGGGCACCGTGGTGGCTGATGTGCGGGTGAGTGCTGCCACACACGCCTCATTGCCATGCCTGTCATGAGTGCCATGCCTGACGTGCTTGACATGCCTGGCATGCATGGTACCCCGGTAAGCTGGGATGTGTAGTGACAGCAGCGGAACCAGGTCCTCCTGGTTACCTGCTTGTCCAATGCGCTTCACTCCCATATTTGACATGCCTTGACTCATCTATACCACCTCGTTTCTTCCCCTACCCTCAACCAATTCAAAAACCTCATCATCACAACCCCCTCCTTCCTGACCCCCCATCCGCCCATGGAATGCCGTGCCACACCTATCCGTCCACGCCACACTCACCCCCTCCCACGTGTGGCACAGAGAGCGCTGGTGGAGCACCACGTGTGGCTGCGCTCCAACAACGCGCGCCAGCTCGCCAGCTACCGCGACTTCGCCCGCACCCGCTGGCCCTCCGTGCCGCCTGCCCCCGCGCTGCCGGGCAGTGAGGAGGAGGGTGAGGGCGAGGGCGAGGAGGGGAGGATTCCTGAGACAGTTGGCATTCTGGAGGGATTCAGCCCGCGCGCTGCTGCTCTGCTGCTGGAGGAAGAAATGCGGGAGTCGGTGAGATGAGGGAGTGTGTGGGAAAAGAGAATGAGTGAGGAGAGAATTGGAAGTGAGGTGGGGGAATTGATGAATGTGTGGATGAAACAACTGAAGAATGGTGGCCCTGTCGTGATCCCGCATGACCCAGCTCGTCCTCCATTCCTTTTCCACTAGTCTCGTATTCTCTCTTTGCCCGCTTCCACCACCAATCCCTCTCAGCCATGCTCGCACCCCCTGGCTCTCCACTTTTGACCCCTTGGCGCTCCACCTTTTCTCTCTTACCCCTCTTTTTCCCACTTTTATTTGTTTCATTTTTTTAGCTTTTGCTGCCGTGCCTCCCCATTCTCTCCCCTTCCCTGTTACACCATTTCCACGTCCCCATCCCTTCCCTTTCCTTCACCTCCTGCGTGCCGCACGACCACAACACGGGCCATGGCACGGCACAGGTGGTGAGCACGGTGACAGGGCTGGGAGTGGCAGGGGTGTCGGCGTCGGTGCTCACGGCCGTGCTGCAGTCGTCCCTGGAGGACCTGCTCGCCCTCACTGTCTGCACCGCTGGCGGGTGAGCCTCCCTTCACCGTCCTTGCACGCCCTGCCTTGCACTGACTGAAGCAGCCACAGGGTGGGGCTTGCATCGTGTAGTTGGCCTCGACAAGGCCGCAGGAGGGTGAGCATTGCTGATGAGTGTGAGCTGCCCACTGCCTTGGTTAAGCCCCATGTGCTCTTCCACCAACACAACCACCACTCCACTCTCACCGTGCTCATCCTCCCCCCACCCCGCCTGTACTGCTGTGCGAGCAGCTCCCTGAATGTGCTCACCTTCCCGCAGCGGCGGGAGAAGGTGAAGGGCAAGATACGGCAGCGGGCAGCGGGGCTCATCAAGCGCCTGGAGGAGGGGCTGGAGGGCGAGCTGCAGAGCCGCCTGGCTGACCTGGAGACACGCATCCGTGCTGAGCTGGCACCATACCGTCGTGCTGTGGATGATGAGCTTGTGCGCGTGGATGCTCTGCAATCGCAGCTGCAGATGTCCACTCAGCAGCTTGAGGAGCTAAGGCAACGGGTCCGCAATCTTGCCGTCTGAAGAATGACTTCGGATAGGTGCTTCCGTACCATATCTTGTGCTTCAAGAGTGTGTGTCTGTACTGTGGTAAGATGTATCGCTCAAAAACTAAACACAGCGGAATGAGTTGGTTTGATTGGGTTGGGGTACAAATGCCTAACCCTAACTGTTTGTACCCCATATACGGTAGCATGACCCACTAGAGGCTATAACATTTGACACACCCCCATAGCCTAAGTGGGGAATGCCAAGCAACAAGAAACGCAAAGGTCACAAGACCAGTCACAAGTACCGTATTCTCCCGGATAAAACACCCTAGGGTATTATGAAAACCACTGGGAAAAAATGGGGGGGGTCTCCTCAAAGGAAAATCCTACATACCGGTAATACCCGGGTCTTATTATACGGTATATTTTTTATGAAGTAGAAAATATGTGAAACAAAATCAGTCGCCTGACTCCACTTCAAGATTGTTGACCAGTGCCGCAAAACCGAGTACCGTCATCGCCCGGATAGAAGACATATATGTCTTATCTTATACATTAGAAAAAAAGCTTGCTGTGTCTTGTGATTGGGACGCTTTAGGGTGTCTTATAATTCTTATAAATGGACAAAAAACCGTTTAGAAGATACCCCCTAGTCATAAGATTGCCCCTAATCCCTATACTGGCTTAACTTGTACACACCGACAGTTGTCTTATAATCAGGAACACCCATCTATAAGAAACACCCGTTTTAACGACACCCCATGTCTTCAATTCGACACTGTCTTATATCCGGGTGATGACGGTATGCGAGGATAACGTGACCGCCCACTGGAATCTGCCACGAGGCAAATTCGAGTGGACAATTCTGGCACTTGATAGGGTGAAAACAAAGCCAATTGCGTGGCGAGGGTTTATGCAACCGCCGAGAACAGAATCGCGCACGGTGGTGCGTTCTTACTGTACCAGTCACTTCTTGACTGGTTTGGTCACGTATCTGTGCCTCATGTGAGAAGGTGATTTTCACCTATTGGGCCACTTGCAGCGGAAGATTCGCCAGCGTGGCGACAACGAGGTTGTGGGAGGGGGGAAATCTGTGAATAAATGAACGTGAATGAAATGACTATGAATGAAGTGAGTACAAATAGGAAACCCTAGTTGGGTTGTACCCCCTATGGGATACCCCACTATAGCCTACACAAATAAGTAAGCTATAATATTCTGACACACCCCCATAGGCAAAGTGGGGGAGAACAAGGGGTCACAAGACCAGTCAAGCAAAACAAAGCAAAGCTCAGGGTGGATCACAAAGTCACCACACATTCCGAGCACAAGTTCAAGGGCCACAAGGCCAGTTCACATGCAAGACCATATATAGAGATATACAAGAGTCAAGCAAGTAAGAGCAAGAGTATATATAGGTCGAGGTACAAGCAAGGTCAAGAAGTGAGCAAGTGAGGCAAGACAGGCACAAGGCCCAACTGCGTGCAGCAACGCTGATGATCACAAGGCGCAAGTGCCTTGGTGAAGACATCAGCAGTGTTGGCCTCAGAGGCCACGTACGCAAGTCGCAACTGTCCACGCTGCTGTAGCTCACGAGCAAGAAAGTAGCGGAGAGCAATGTGCTTTGTCCTGTGCTCCAGTCGCTGCTCTCGACACAAGGCCAGCATGGCCTTGTTGTCTACGTACAGGACTGGAGGAGAACAAGGCAGCTCTCCAAGGTCGGTCAACAGGTAGGTGAGCCAGCGTAACTCCTGTGCAGCCATAGCCCCGGCGTAGATCTCAGCCTCACAACTGGAACCGAGAACAGAAGACGAGCGGGTAGCCCGCCACGAAACAGAGCCGGAACTAAGGCTGAAGGTGCAACCCTGTGACGACCGCTGCGTAGCCTGGTCGTTAGCCCAAGAAGCGTCCGCGTGCCCAGTGAGGACCACTGGACTGCGCCCTCCAAGCACTAGCCCCATGCCCGACGTACTGCACAAGTAGCGCAACACCCTCTTCGCTGCAGCCATGTGCTCTGGTCGGTGTCTCCCAGGAGCAACATAGCGTGCGAGAATGCTAAGAGGGTATGCAAGGTCAGGTCGTGTGCAGGTCATCAGGTACATGAGGCAGCCAACAAGCTCTGCATACGGGCCACTCGACTCTACGGACTCATCCGAAGGCAGAGCTGAGAGCGAGTGGCGAGTAGGCAGAGGAGTGGCCTGAGGCGAGGAGTACGTGAAGCCGAAGCGCTGAAGGACCTGCTGCACCATGTGTGACTGAGTCAGGGTAATGGTGCGGCGTGCTCTGTCTCGGGTGATCTGCAAGCCACGGTAGCTGCGCAGTTCACCCAGGTCAGTGCACGTGTGTCTCTTCTGCAGCTCGGACTTCACGTAGGCGAGTCTAGCAGTGTCAGCTGTGGCAAAGACCAAGTCGTCGACGTACACGAGGATGTAGAACGGCGGCAGAGAGGTGTCGGTGCGCAGAAACAGCGACGGGTCGGCAGTAGAAGGAGCAAACCCAAGTGCCGCGAGCGTAGTCCTCAGTGTGTCGTGCCACTCACGTGGCACCTGGCGGAGACCGTAGACTGGACGCCGGAGACTCCACTGGGTACCAGGAGGGAAAGACCCAGTGAAGCCAGGTAGGCGACGCAGCCAGATCTCCTCGTGCAGGCTGCCCTGCAAGAAAGTTGTGCTGAAGTCGAGAGAGTGCAGCTCGTAGTCACGGTGAGCAGCAACGTGCAGCAGTACCCGAAGAGTGGTCATCTTCGGGGTGGGGGAGAAGGTCTGAAAGTAGTCAACCCCCTGCCGCTGACTGAAGCCACGAGCCACGTAACGCGCCTTGAAGGCAGGCGGAGAACCCGGCGGCCGCTTCACCCTGAAAATCCACATGCCACTGACTATGTTCGCCCCAGGAGGGGGAACAGCGTCGGCGTAGGTGCCTGTGGACTTCCAGGAAGCCATCTCTGCATCCATAGCCGCCTGCCACTGAGAGGAGTAGGGACCCTCTATCGCCTCCGCGTAAGAGCGCGGAGTCGGGATGTCAAGTGCATCCGGGTCTCCCTCAGGGGCTAGCAGTACAAACGCGAGATGAGGTGAAGCGGCGGCCAGACACTGGAACTCCTCCTGCCTGTCCTCAAGGACGTCCGTGCCAAGGGCACACTCACCCCCGACGGACGGAGGACAGGCAGACCCAGACTCAGCGACAAGACTAGCAGCGTAGTCTAGACGACAGCGCGCAGCAAAGTCGACGAGCTCAGTGACAAGGGCAGACACAGCAGAAGACTCGAAAGAAGGGTCAGTGACAGGAGTAGCAAGGAGACGCGTGACAGTAGGACTGGCAGCACGAAGAGAGTCCGACTCCGGGTCGGCAAGAGCAGGAAGAGAGGAAGCAGGAGGAGAAGGCAAAGGGGCACGCAGCGGAGCAGTGGACGGACGCAGAGACATCCGGTGTGTGCCAAGGACAGGAGGAGGACGCTGACGCGAACCGCGACCACTAGCGCGCGTAGTACGAACAGGCGACGCAGGACGAGACGCAGGCTCACGACGCTCAGTAAGACCTCCAGTCGGACCAGCGTAGGGAGAAGGAGCAGGCAAAGGTGAGGCAGGCTGTAGCTGTGACTGTGACAAGACAGGCTGTGGACCCTCTAAGGGAGGAGGAGGAGGACCAGGAGAAGGTGTAAGACCAAGAACCTGCTGCAGGAGCGGAACGAAGTACGGCCGGGGCCGCGCGGCGACGCCAGAAACAGCAGGGACAGCACCAGTACCCCCAGCAGGAGTACCCGCTCCAGCAGCACCTCCAGTAGCTCCAGAACCTCCAGCAGCACCACCAGGAGCACCGCCAGTCGGACCTCCAGCGGCAGTCTCAGCGCCAACACCCTCAGCAGCACTAGCTCCAGGAGAACCCTCAGACCCAGCAGCTCCAGCACCCACAGTACGAGCACCTCCGGGACGCTCGGCAGCAGTACCCTCTGCAGCCGAAGAACCTCCAGTACCAGCAGCACGCCTCCAGCGCCTAGCAAACCACTCACGTAGCTCCTGTGGGGAGAGTGGCTCTCGGCGAGACGAAGCACCTCCAGGCGGAGCACCCCTAGTCTCAGCACCCCCAGGCTCAGCACCCCAAGGCTCAGCACCCCCAGGCTCAGCACCCCCAGGCTCAGCACCCCCAGGCTCAGCACCCCCAGGCTCACCACCCCCACGCTCAGCACCCCCAGGCTCAGCACCCCCAGGCTCAGCACCTCGAGACCCGGCACCCACAGGCTCAGCACCCTCAGGCGTAGCACCTCCTGTCTCAGCATCCCCAGGCTCAGCTCCCGGAGCAGCACCAGATTCACCAGTGACCTCGACAGGCTCGACCGCGTCTACCTGGGACACACCTGAAGGGGCAGGACCCTGAGGGGGGAGGGGGTCTACCGGGGGGGGACCTGGTACCAAGAAGAGCGGGGGCGGGGGGAGGGACGGAGTGCGGTAGGGGAAGAGGCGGTAGTAGGGTACCGACTCGTCGAACGTGACGTCCTGGGAGGACAGAACACGTCGAGAGGTGGGGTGGTAGAACTGCCACCCAGGGGCGTCGGGGGGGAACCCCAGGAAGACGCAGTGAGCAGTGCGAGGGGACAGCTTGTCCGCAGACAAGTCGCGGACAAACGCCCGAGATCCCCAGACCCGGAACGCCGACGCATCGCCAACCTTCCCCGTCCACAGCAGCGCTGGGGAGGTCTCCGGCCTGGAGACCCTGGGGTGGAGGTTGATCTGATGCGCTGCGTACCTGACCGCAAACGGCCACAGAAAGTGGGGGGCAGCCGCATGCATCATGGACGTACGAGCGACGTCCATGACCATGCCAATGCGGCGCTCTGCAATCCCATTTTGTTGCGGGGAGTCCGGAAGCGTGAAGGTCTGGCGGATGCCTCGCGCACGACAGTAGGCACGCAGAAGGCCAGAGGAGAACTCTCCGCCTCTGTCCGAGTGCAGACGCAACACAGGAAAGTCCGAGCCAAAGCTCTGCCTGAGCTGGAGACGAGCTGCGCGGATCCAGTCGATCAGCACCTCAGTGACATCA